GAACGAAATAGAAAAAAATATTCAAGCCGGCTGTTTCGTAAAATAGTCGGTTGTTCCAGCCGGTTGTTCAAGTCGACTGGACAGTCGGCTCGGCTCTTCCTGCTGACCGTCCATCCGACTGTCCAGTTGGCTGTTAAATATTCCGGCTGTCCAGTCGGGTTTTTTCAACTGTTAATTGGACAGTCGACAGTTCAAATTCGCTATCCGGCAGAATATACACATCAAACTTTTGCAGATTAATTTTTCTGTATTAATACGGATGAATTTTTCTGGTCAAAGGCTTAAAATTTTTTAGAGATCTATTAATAAAACTATCTAAATTAACATTATATGTCGAAATAAATTTTATCTATGCAAACGTAAAATAATTTAACGAAAACAAAATTAAATGTACTTATTATAAACTTACTGATTTGATGAGATTGATATAAAAAAAATTCCAGCTACCACGTTCGATGAATTTTTCAAATCTTGAGGTTGAAGCAGATGAAAGATAAAATCGTTTTTATCTGTGTTGGAGTGAACAGGTATGAGAAGTTTGCTGATTTTGATATTTTAAGTGGGAAGTGTTTGGCTTTTATTTGTTAACAAAAGGGTAATAATATCTTTTAAACAAAATCTTCTTTTATAATTGCATAATACACTTAAGGATATCTTTGTCTTTTAACATTCAATAGGTCATTGTCATAATTTTAAGAATTGAACGAGTCAAAGTGAAATTTTCCTTCTTTGACAATACTATTTTTAAAATTACCGCATACTATTCCCATATTTATACAGTTTATTTTCTTTATTTACAAATCAAAATATTTATATTTCTTCCCGAAAGTGGCTGTTTGACTATTGTTTATAACTCGTCAAATTCCTTTAACTCCACTCACTTATTCATCACTTGTTTTTATTTTTATTTTTTTTATAATTTAAATTGTTTACAAAAAGCACACAAACATTGAGTGAATTATCCAAATGGTCATTGAACTTTGTAAAAAAATTTCACGGGATCACTAGGAAATCTTTTTGCAAAGTTCAGTGATAATTTAGGTGATTTTTAAAGTTCAATAATCTCGTGAAAATCTTTTGCAAAGTTCAGTAATAAATTAGATGATTTTTAAAGTTCAATAACCCTGTAAAAATCTTTTACAAAATTCATTGATCATTTGGATAATTAACTCCACAAAGGATAATTAGTACAAAACGTCCCTATCTTTTGATATTTTTGTAGAAAATCTCCCTATCTTTCATTTTTTGTCATATTACACCCTCACCTTCACCTTTTTTTTCGCAAAACGTCCTTCTATCAACTCTCCGTTAAAATGTTCCGTTAAATCAAAAGTTAATTAGCACAAAAAGTCCATACCTTTCAATATTATTGTGTAAAACGTCTTTACCTTTCATTTTTTGGCATAATTAGCACAAAAGGTTCCTACATTTCAATGTTATTGTGCAAAACATCCATACCTTTCATTTTTTAGCATTTTCACCCCTACCTTTCACCTTTCATTAAGAAAAATGTCCTTCTTATCCATTTTTTTTCATAAAATGACGATTTTACCCTCCTATTCAAATAAAACAAAAAGAAAAGATGAATTATCAACTGCTACCATAATCCTTAAATTTTTAAAAAATTACAAAGAAATCATAAATTCTCAACCACCACCACTTTCACAACATATCAAGCTGCCAACTATAAATCCACATAACACCACATTTCGGTCACCATGCCCACCAGACTCCACCATCGTAAATGTGGTTGTTTCGGACAGATTGGTGACCAATACTATGGAGGATGATATTGGGGAGAGTAAGGTGAGGCTGGTGGTGGTGGAGTCCAATAGGTGTTGTGGCCGAAAGGTGGTGCTATATAGATCTATATGTGGTGGCTTGGTGGGGTTGTGAAAATGGAGGTAGTGGAGAATTTAGGATTTATCCATAATGTTTTGAAAGATTTAGGACTATGATTGTAATTAATTATTTATTTTTCTTTTCTTTTCTTTTTGTTTTATTTGAATAGGAGGGTAAAATCGTCATTTTATAAAAAAATGGATGAAAATGACCTTTTGCCCAAAGAAAGGTGAAAGGTATGGGTGAAAATGCTAAAAATGAAAGGTATGGACGTTTTGCACAATAACATTGAAAGGTATGGACCTTTTGTGCTAATTACCTTTTGATTTAACGGAGCATTTTAATGGAGAGTTAACAGAAGGAAGGTTTGTTCAAAAAAAAGGTAAAGGTGAAGGTGTAATCTGCCAAAAAACGAAAGGTATGAACAGTTTCCACAAAAATATCGAAAAGTAAGGACATTTTATGCTAATTACCCCTCCACAGACATGATACAATTTATGTAGTTGGGCTTAACTTAACATAAAATAATTGAGCCCCATTTTCTAGGGTAGGGTGATATATTTTGAAATAGTATTTTTTTTTTTTTAGAGTGTGCAATTAAAAAATAAGAAAAATTTTCGATTTAAACATAAAATTATTGGGAAGAATATATAACTCTTTTATCTCTTATATTTAAGAATTACATTTCAAAATTAACAAATATGTCAAATTATTTCAAAATTCAAGTGCTAATTTCAATAAATAATATATATAATTAATTGAAATTAATTATCCCACCAATTAATAGTATCCCTATTCCACCCCATCCATTCCCACCAAATTAATGATATCCCACGGACCCACCCTACCTTACACATCTATAAAAAAAATAAGAATGATAAATAAATAAACTTTGAAATTTGAAATTTATTTCAAGATTACACCCCCACTCGTGGAAAAATTAAAAAAAAAATAATTCCTAGAGCCTTTGCATCGAAACTTACGTCGCTCGCAAAACCCTACTCCAGCAACCACTCCCTCTCGTCAACAACCACCTTCATCGCCAATCAAATCAGCAGATTATCAAAAACCACGACCAACACAACACCATACCATACCACCGTTGCTTCGTGCCCTTTCAACCTTTCGTTAGCCCTTTCACCACACCACACCAGGTAAGCAGAGCCCATTCGCCTGCACGCCGCAGCTGGGCTCAGGGACGACGCACGACACTCACTACGCAATTATGCAATGGGCGATTATGGCTACTTGATCTTCCGACAGAAAGAAGAAGTAGAGAGAACTCGCAGCAGTGCCTCACCGCGTGCAACAGTAGTGGAATACAGAGCGGTGGTCTTGCAACAGTGCCGAGATATGGATAGGGTGCGCTATTGGGCGGGGTGGTTTTGAACTGCCGATGCAACGACGCCTAATATAGAGAGGGTGGGGATATACATGAAAATGACCCAAATAGTATATAACCTTTTCCAAAATGACCTTTGACTTTTTTAGAAATTTGAAACTACCCAAAATATCCTTGGAAAAATTTAACAATCAATCCTTTATATAATAAAAAGTTTCTTTTTTAGTCCTTAAAAGTGCCTAGACTTGAAGTTTGGGCAAAACGCCTCGCTTTGAGTCTATACGCATTGTTTTCCAATTTCTAAATGGTCAAATTTTTTTCTACATTTCTTTTGTTTTCTGTAAACGTGTTTTATTAGTTTTTTTTTTTTTTAAGTTTTTTATTTGACTTCAACTTATTATTATTATTTTTTAAAAAAAATCCTTTTCATTTGACTTTAATTTCAACCTTTTAAAAGATTTTATCTGTACAAAAGTTAAAAATAACTTTATCAAATAGTTAAATAAGATTCAGTTTTTGATGCTATATACATTATCTAATTATGATCTTGAAACTCATATTATTACAAACTTAAAAAAAAACATGTATTAATTTCCTATAAATCTATCAAGTTAGACTTGTTTAGTTGAAGATGGAAACTATGAAAAATATTTTAATTTTTGCATTTCAAAAGCTTGAAAATTTTATAATTGACTAATTTTAGGAATTACTAAGTAAATGTTATATTTTATAATATCACATGTTTAATATGTATTATTTTAATTATTAAATAATTTTCAAAATGACATTATAAATAAGAAAAAGCTTTTTTACACCTAAATCTTGCCTAAGCTTGCTTTAGCTCGTAAAACTTGAAGCTCCAACATCACGCCCAATCAAGCTTTATGCTTTTTAAAACACTGAATTTGAATGATATATTATTATTATATTAAATTTTTATTAATTAGTTTACTAAAATTTAATTACCGCCTAATTTTTGAAATTATAATTAATCCATCTTGTTTATGAATTTTAGTCTTTATATATATGATTTTAGGTAATTTCCCCTTTCTTTATAGACATTGACACTTATCTCAATATGAATATTTTTCTTTTGTTAAATACCCGTTTACTTGAATTTAATGCGTAACACTAAATTATACCACTAACAATTGACGTTAATTTAACGGATGGCAATAGAGTACTTGAACTCGCGTATAGTTGAGTAATCTACGAAGTTGTGTTGTGGAATGAAAGATAATCATTTACACTATCAAAAACTGCAATCTAACTATGCACAATTTAAACATTTAGAAATGTAAGGTGCAACCTCGAACCACACTCGTGTATACTTGCAACAAAGGGGTGATGAGATATCCTCCTCAACGAACAAATTATTTTATGCTCAAACCCGAATAGATTACCCAAATTCCCAAATTATCATAGAAATTACTGGAAGAAAATAAAAAATATATAAACGGGACGGGAGTTGCCCCTCTCCACCCTTAAGTGGGAGATCAGGGCGGGGAACATAAATCCCTGACAGGCCAAGTGCCCATAGCCATCCCTAAGACGGAGTGACAATGAGAAAAGATGAGAGTCCAGTGACTGTTCCAAGCACATTTAATGTTCAATATAAATTTTTTATATTGAATTATCCTGTAAAGTAGCATTCGTGCAATTACTTTAATCTAATCGCCCCGCTTGTTTCGTGTTGCATTAAGCAGTACAAAAGTTTCATCGAGCAATATCAGATAAGATCAAATAAAAAGACAAACAACTGTTGACTTGAAACTCTCACTTTTTCAGGTCTTCACTTGCTTGTCTATGCATGTAACCCCCAACTCAATGAGACTCCGCCTATAGGCTTTTGCCACGGAATGTACACAAGTGGCTTCCAAACTGAGATATAATATCTACAAGTCCTCCATAACCAGACACGGCTGTAACCTGGAAGGGAAAACCGTCAAATTCACTTAATTCTCCTACGTCAACAAGTACAGCTTGAAACTGCAAGTAATTCTAGTTTTGCTCATATGAATACAGTAAACGAGAAGCTATAACCTGAAACAACAAAACAAAATGGATCTGCATCATACGTTTTACCAGAGTCCGACGCATAGAGTACATAAATTCAGCAATAATTATTTACTTTTGTGTTCTTGTTTAGCCTATTGCCATTTTCCTTTTATTTTCTTCTCTTTTGTAGATTGCGGCAGGGCAGGGCAGGGCAGGGCCGAAGGGATGGTGTTTTAGTACTAAGTATCTAGTTTCTATATGTCGTCAAAATAAGTCCTTCAGAATTTAGTTTACTGCCAGAACTCATCTCTCTCTAATTCTCGCAATACTCATAATTCAATCTTCTAACAGTCGAAACCAATAACAGGTAGTTATTCATGCACATGAAATGACAGCCACCAACATTTTATATTACTTATAAGATAATGGTTTCAATTGGCTCCAGGGGCCATGTAGCATAAAATGCTGATATTTTAATCAGCCGACTAAAATCAAAAGCTTGGGAAAGGAGGAAATATAGTACTGAAGTAAAAACATACCCCAGAAGGATGCAAAGAAACGGAAAACACTGATTGAGGAGCACAATTTATCTGTGATCGAATATCTCCTTTCATGTCAAATCGAGTAAGCAATGGTGCTGCCCCAACAGCCAAAATCTGAGGGCATAACAAAAACCTTTTAAAATGAACAAGGCAAGTGCTAAGAAATAAAGAAATGAAAAGCAGATGGAATGCATAAAAATTTAGGAATGGACTCCCAGAGAATCCAAGTTCCTATTCCATACCAGAGACAAAAGGAAGTCGAAACGAAGTGCAAGTGTGCCAAAAATAAAATATCTGGCTCATTTACAAAGAATATGTCAACAATTGAAAGCAGTCCAAATTCAAAAGTCAATTGACTTTCTCTATCATTAACACTACAATAAGTTTGTAGTTTATGTATCATTTCTGTGCTTTTACAAAGTTCATCGCTTTAAAACCAACAATGAAAAGAGGAAAGGGGAGAGAATCAATTCAACCCTCACACATTATTCTTTAAACAACTGATTGTAACACTTGAGCAGCTGATGCAAAAAGTTTAAGGAAATGAAAGAACTTACTTCATTCTCATCAAATACGACGTCTTGGATTGATGAATTCGTTCTGATCCTTGAAATACATTCATTAACTGGAAGATTCCATAGTGATAAAGATGGGCCCTTTCCACAAACCTATGAAATTAAAATATAATATAAATTCAGATCATCAAAAATGTATGTTAATGTTACTGCATGTGCTACAGCGCACGTATGTGCTTATGAACCCCTTTTACACAATTTAATCACAAAAGTATTAATTAGTACGTGAGGCAGAAAGCAGTATGCTTGTTTGCATTCATGCATAGTGCATAGCTAATGCTGTCACAATGGAGGCTGTTCGCTGCATGGGGATTGATGGGGGTGAGGAGTCACAAAGGCTGGAGGCTGTGCTAGTGGACCTCACGATGCTGAGGTTTGCTTTTGGTAAAGGTGTCCTGTTCACTTGGAGGATATTTGGTATAGCAGTTAATTTAACTTTGAATTTTCCCCAATTCTTTGAGTTTCTTGTTTACTCTTTCTTTTTATTTATTTTTCCCATTATTCTTTTTTACATTTTTTTGGGGTCTTTCTTTTACTTAATAATCTATTTTTCATTCTCCTGTTAACATTGAATTAACATATTCTAATGTTGCTTTCATATTGATTTTTTTTAGTTGGGTAAGTTGCACCAGGAATCTCGAATCTTTGAAGTTTGTGACAATAGAATCCCGAACCTTTGATTTCCAGTACCCTAGGTCCCAAACCTTTCAAACGCCTGCGCCTGAAATCCTTTTATGGCAGAAATCGTTAGTTTCACCATTAGAAGTTCAATACCGAGTAAAATGAGCATTATACCTATAGCTTGACTTAAAACAAATTAATAAATAAAAAAAATGAAGAAAACAATAAAGAATAAAGAAAAGAAAAGAAAAAATAAAAACTGAAACACACCCCAACCACACCACGACTCAACCCAATCCCAATACCACCCCTCCCCATGTAACCAAGGGTATTTCCCCCCAGTTTTGTTGCCGGAGGCAATGGCAAAAATCAAAGGGAAATCCCCTGGTCCATCTACAACCAGGGGATTTTTCCCTTGGTTTTGCCAGCGGTCTGTGGTGAAACTAAAGGGAAAACCCCCCAGTATTTTCCATGATACTGCTTCTCAAGTCAACAGCCAAGATCATGAAAAGGAGAAATGAAGCTTTCCTCTTTGGTTTTCAACCAAGAAAGGAAATCTCAGAGAAGTTAAGTATAAAATTTCCATAGTAGAAGAACGACAAATTTTTTGCCTTTTTCAGTTTGTACATTCAAATAGAATGATATGCAAATGTATAAATATATATATCTTGCCTTTCCAATTTGATTTATATACATAAATCTTTGATGAAAAAACCAAGGGAATTTCCCCCTAGTTTTAGCCATCTTTGGGTTTGGGGTTGAGATGATTGAGGGGGTACAATTTTTACTTTTTCTTTTCTTTTATGTTTTTTCTTTGTTTTCTTTATTCTTTGTATTGTTCTTTTGTCCCTTTACTTTCTTTATTCATTTGTTTTAAGTCAAATATGGGTAAAATGATTATTTTACTCAATATTTGACCTTTTAATGGTCAATCATTGGTTTCAAAGGATTTCAAGAGCAAATGTTTGAAAGTTGAGTGCACTAAAATAAAAGGTTCGGGACCCAATTTTTACAACCTCCAAAGGTTTGAGACCTCAGGTGCAAATTACCCTATTTAGTTCCAACTAGCTTCCTTTCCATCACCGTCTCATTCATATTTCCCCTTCATTTCCAGGGGGTTTTGTATTCTGATTTTTATTTTTTTTATTTTTTTTGCGGGGTGGGGGGTTGTTTTAATTAATTTGTTTTCATTTTATATTTTAATAATAATAGAATTCTGTTATATGTTTACGTTCAATATCCATATCATAGAATATGATATTTTAATGAAGTCATCTTGGTAATCTCCAATCAGTTGTGAAAGAAAATTTGAGAATGAAGTTCATAGCAATAGTTGTATAAGGACAAACAACTCGTCTGATAATGCAGGTCAACTTAGCTAACATTTGAACACCATCAACAAACTGTAACAGGAGTCTGGGGTGTGGGGGGTTGATAGCTCGTATTTTCATGTTCTTCCAGAGGAGTCATTGACATTTACGTCAAAACTCATAAGGTTAAATCAAAATCAGCCCATTCTTAACTTAACTACAAAGACTCCATGGAATTGATGCATCAATAAAAGAGGACATGGATGTCAGTTGTACTTTTGCCCACGTCTATGAAGACAACTGTTCTTTATTTTTTTCCTCCATGAAGACAAATGTTCAGGTTGAAACTGAATTTCCTTTTCAGCAAAGTATCAAAAAATGAGTGAAGATAAGCTATATGGACAGTAGATTCACTGATGCATAAAGGAAAAATAACTTAAACAACAGACATATATAACCATGCAAGAGAAAAAAAACTAGTTACAATATAAATAATCAGATACAGCATAACATCTTCATTGTATGGTCAACTTACCAACCAGCTCTCGCTTGAATCAAGAGCAATGCAACTGACACATTGAACAGATTCTTTTGAGGTCTTATCCTTTCCTGGATCAATTACTTGGATACAATTCCCACTTCTGCAGTCTGTAGATCATACAATACAGTCAAGTGCAATGAAAGGATAGCGAAGATGAGGGTGACCACCCAACAAGACAACTCGGCAAATTAGAAGAGGAAACCACAACCAACATGCACGATGTTCAATCTGTAAAAATATTGTTGGTTTCACGTTATTGCCATAAAATAGATTACCCCATATTCGAGCTGTGCCATCTTCTGAACCAGTTAT